GGGGAGGGATGGGGATGTTAGAGTTGTCTCTGCTCCATCAGCGCCACAGCCTCTGCATGTCTCGGGTGGCACGCCTGGCCCCGCCTCTCATGCAGGCACGCCCCATTCGCCCGGGCCGTCCTCTCCTCTGCATGCCTCGGGCGGCACACCAGGGGCCCGCTTGCATGCAGGCACGCAGGCTACTCCCGGATCGGCACCGCCTTTGCATGCCTCGGCTGGCGCGCCTGGGCCCGGCTCGCATGCAGGCACGCCCCGCTCGCCCGGGTCGGCTTCTCGTGCCGCTTCTGGTGCCAACCCCGCCCAGGCCGATTCGCCGGTCCCGGTCGTCGACCACGGCCCGCGGTCTCGCTCTCCGTCACTAGCACGACCGTCTGCCTCGTTGGCTCCTGACGGGGCTTCTTTGCCTGGCCTGTCTCCGGCCCGTGACGAGGCCTCTTCTTCGCCCTCGTCGACGTCTTCTACACCACCAGCGTCGCCGCCTCCAGCGCCTCCCGCTGCTGGCCGGCTCGGGTCATCGTCACGTGATGGCGCAATGCTATCTCTCGTCCCAAGGTGTATCGGGATGGCATGGTTCGATATGATCCCTATCATCGCCGTGCGTTTATGGTGGAGCCTGCATCTCATCGTACTGCTCTCTCTGAGCCAGCTTGGCGTGCTGCTATGGAGGCTGAGTTCAAGGCACTTCAGGCTAACAAAACGTGGATATTGGTACCCCCATCCACCTGGCACTAACATTGTTGGCAGCAAATGGATCTTCAAGAAGAAGTTCCGTCCCGATGGTTCTGTTGATAAATACAAGGCACGACTTGTGGCTCGAGGCTTCACACAACAATACAGTATAGATTATCATGATACTTTCAGTCATGTGGTTAAACCAGTCACCGTTCGCCTGGTGCTTGCTCTTGTTGTCTCTCGTGGTTGGTGCCTTCATCAGATTGATGTGAGTAATGCCTTCCTTCATGGTTTTCTGTCTGAGGAAGTGTATATGCAGCAGCCCCCCGGTTTGAGGATTCACAGTACCCTCGGCATGTTTGCAAGCTGCATCGTGCTTTCTATGGTCTCAAACAGTCGCCTCATGCCTGGTATGCCCGTTCGAGTGACAAGCTTCATCAGCTCGGTTTTGTTGCTAGCAAGGCCGATACCTCTCTGTTCATTTTTGATCATCATGTGGTTATTATATATATGCTTGTCTATGTTGACGATATTGTTTTGGCTGGGTCGTCTTCGGCTGCTGTTGAGAAACTGGTTACCACTCTTTCTGTTTCTTTTCCTGTCAAAGACCTTGGGCGCCTGGAGTATTTTCTTGGTATTGAGGCCACTTATAATTCTGAGGGTCTGGTCTTGTCGCAGCACAAATATGCTCTTGATCTCTTGCACCGGGCCAACATGGAGCAACGTTGGTCTGTTACTACTCCCATGTCTACTTCCGACAAAATGTCTCGAGATCAAGGCCAACCGTTGAGCTCTGAGGATGTTTTCAAGTACAGGAGTCTTGTTGGGGGTCTTCAGTACCTCACTCGGACACGTCCTGACTTGTCCGTTGCTGTTAACAAGGTGTTCCAATACTTGTCGCAGCCTACTACCGCTCACTATGAGGCAGTGAAGCGAATTCTTTGCTATATCCGAGGTACTGTGTCTACTGGCTTGCGTTTCCGGCGCTCCGCTTCTATGGGACTGAGTATTTTCACTGATGCTGATTGGGCGGGTTGCCCTGATGATTGTCGGTCTAGGGGCGGTTTTGCCATTTTTCTTGGCTCCAGCCTCGTCTCTTGGAGTTCTCGCAAGCAACCTACAGTTTCTCGTTCTAGCACTGAGGCAGAATACAAGGCTTTGGCTAATGGTACCGCTGAGGCTATATGGATACAGTCGGTGTTGAAGGAGCTTGGTGTGTTTCTTTCTCGCCCTCCGGTGTTGTGGTGTGACAATGTTGGCGCCACATACTTATCTGCCAATCCAGTTTTTCATGGCCGCATGAAGCATATCGAGGTTGATTTTCACTTTGTGCATCAGCGGGTTGCTTTGGGTGCCCTTGATGTTCGGTTCATCTCCACTGACGATCAGTTGGCTGACGTATTCACGAAGCCTACTTCTCAGCTCACACTTCGTCGTTTTAGTTCCAATCTCAACCTTGTTCATGACGGTTTAGATTGAGGGGGGTGTTAGAGTTGTATTATATATATATGCGTGTACGTGTTGTATATCCATTGTATTTCCTTGTTGTACAAATTGATCTAATCAATATAAAGAGATGCCAGCTGATTGGGGCTAACCACGGCAAATAATTCTTTTTGACTGGGGAGAGGAGGATTGGAGGAGGCAGCGTGCTTGGGTCAAGGGAAGGCGTAGAGTGGATGACTCGTTGTGGAGTTCCTTCATAGGGAAGGAAACAAAGTGACGACGTTTCTCCTCTTGTTTTTCTCTCTCATTAACGTGTTTTCGCCTCGGCACAGTGAAATCTACGACACCACCAGCGCTCACGCTTACCTCTAACGCTTATTGTGTTTGATGACTGGTTTGGCGCAACAATCTCTTACACAAATATTGCTGGTCTATTATATGGAGAGAACACTTCACACACGGCGCTCATCTATGACGCATGTATTAACTTCTCAAAAGCCGAGAGTTCTCTATTTCAAGGGAGCTTAGGAGTCGAAGATATATGACAAAATTGTAATAGCATATCTGTTATTGTTTTGTAGCCGCTGAAAAAGTTGACGATGTGCTACCAACATCAGACAACACAACTCTGACTCTGACAATAACTATGAAGGACAGAACCCGGCACGGCTGGCACCATGGAAGATCGCCGAACAGGCCACCTGCAATCAGTCATTGTACACCACATGGCCCCCCCATCGCAGCTTCGACTTCATGGTAACAAACAAACCGAGGCAATCCAACAGACACACCGAAAAAGAGCATACTACCTCAACCATTGATGCGGACATCACTCCCATTGGTATTCCTGCCTATAACCCGGGTTCAATCCCGGGGCAATGGTGATTTTTCTTTGGGTGATTTTCACCCCTGACTTGACACTGATATATCTTTAATGTTTGTTTAGGGGCCAAGGAGAAAGATTGACTTTTATCCACGATCACTCACCATGAATCACAAGTAAAACTGAACTGACATTTCTGAGATGTGGCGTCATAACTCACAACCAAACTTCAGAGACAAATACTCAGGCTTGCACGTGAGGTCGTCCATTCTCTCTTGCGGTCCAAGTCATGTGGGTCTCGAGAGCATGTATAGCCGGAGCTTTCAAACCCGCCTTATATGCTCGGGCGGGTCGACTGGTTACTGCCCGGTTGCAAAATTTTAACCGAGATGGACGCCTCAAACGGGCCTCAAACGCTCGGGCGCATATGGGGTGCCCGGATGCATTTGGGCATGCCCGCCATGTCAGACTGATGATGGGGTCCCACGCAGATTAGACCGGAAACCCGGCAGTCTGACGGACACCGCGTCCGTCGCCACAGTGTGAACACCGCGTGGAGCCGCTCTGGCTCACGGCTCGAGACAAAATACGGCTATTTAAGCCGATCGGAGCCCCACAACCCTAGCCCATTCCCTTGTTCGCGGCTCCAGTCCGAGCCCATCCACCCCCCGCTCCAACGCTCTGCCCCCGCTCAGGCGCTCTGCCATGGTCCATAGGAAGATCACCTACTACGCAATGCTCATGCCGGAGCGCCGGTACGAGATCCAGCAGGAGATCCGGGCGAGATAAGCCGCACGCGTTGCACACATCATTGCTGGGCTGCCTCCGGACTCGCGGGAGTCGGTGAAGGAGGAGGAGTAGTCGGGGGAAGATGAGGGAGAGGAGTTGGCTCCGATGGAGGTGCAGGAGGAGGTAGAGCAGCCGGAGCCGGAGCTCCCCGGCTTCAACATGGAACAGGCGGAGGCAGAGTTCGCCTCGCCCAATCGAAGGAGATGGTGAAGCAACAGGTCATCCTGGAATCCATTCAGGATGAGGCTGCTGTGGAGGCCAACCAGGCATTCCTCCGACAGGAGCAGGTGGCGTCCGACATGCTCTTCGCCGAACTCGAGGCGTAGATAGAGGAGGAGCAGGCCGGAGCAGAGTAGCTGGAGGCGTCGGAGGAGCAGGAGCTACAGTTGCCACCCATGCTGCTGGATCCGGGCACGAAGATCATCTACATCTCCGACGAGGAGTAGCTAGGTGATCGACGTAGTACGTAGGTTTATCTCTTTTGCATGTCTTTGTATGGATTTAAGAATCAAGTTTGAGATGTCCGGCTGCAGTTATGCTAATTTAAGGAGTGCCCGGTCGCGACCCATGAATGCACGTCCGTGAGCGTCCGAGGGGTCATATTCTACATATCCGTCTGTAGATGCTCTCGGTAGCATGAGACATCCTTATCTTCATGTCGTATGCCGTGAGGAGATGAATCCGTCAGAAAAGAAAGAACTGAACATTCTGTTCTTCGCCTGCAATAACACTCCGTTTTTGTTCATTTATATGCACTAAAAGAAAGAACTGAGCCAACTATGGAGTATCTTAAACTCCTCCTAAGTTAAATAAATCAATTCATTAGTGTTTAATACGAGTCAATTGAAAGAAACCACCACATTTGCACCTAGGTTTGCAAAAAACCACCAACTCGTTAATTCGTTACAAAAAATATCGGAAAGTCTGTTAAGTTGTTGCAAAAAGCACTGACCGGATGATCTGGCCCTTTTAATCACTTTCTTACAAGTGGGGCCAGATTGTAAGGAGCTGACTGAGCAAAAAAAAAAATAACACACACACCCCTAAATCTAAAAAACAAAAGCAATCAGACCCCACCCTGCCCTGACACGCATGCGCCGGCCAGCGCCTCGGCTCGCTCGAGAACGTCACCGGCCCGCTCCTCGCTGATCGACGCCAGGGCCTCCACCTCCATGGCCTCATCCTCCTCTTCAGCGATCTCCTCTAGTAGGCTGTTGAACTCCCGCGCGGCGCACTCCACGACCTACATCTCAGCAAGGAGCCCCGTGGACACCGGTGAGGATGCCCCGGAGGACGACCCCTTTTTGCCCCTCCGCCTCGACTCCTCGATGATCTCCTCCCGGATGGCCGTCATCGGCACCGCCCAATGCGCCTGCTTGGCCGGCACGACGGGGGCGGTCGTGGAGGCCCGGTCTTGGCATGGCCCGGTGGCGACGAGCGCCCACATGGCGAACACGAGGACGGAGCTCATGGTGTAGAGTGCCAAACTGAGCCTGCCCCGCCATCCCAGCTCTGCCCCGGCTACAACGGGCTGCCGGAGGGCATCGCCATCACGACCCGCGTGCTATGGAGGCGCTTCGTAGTGCAGCCGTAAGCGCCGGGCGCCTCCTCGTCCTCCCCGGCTGCGTAGCCCTCTCTGTTGTCGACGAGGGCGGCCCCATGCGGGCGGCCCCATGCATCTTGGCCTGGGCGCCACCATGCCGGACGGATGGCAGCAGCATGGCGACGGTGCGGAGTGGACATGGCGTCGGCGTTCCACGGGGGGAGGGTCTGATTGCTTTTGTTTTTTAGATCTAGAGGTGTATGTGTTATTTTTTTGCTAAGTCAATTCCTTACAATCTGGCCCCACTTGTAAGAACGTGATTAAACGGGCCAAATCATCCGATCAATACTTTTGCAACGACTTAACAGATTTTTCGATGTTTTCTGCAACAGATTAACGAATTGGTGATTTCCTGCAAACCTAGCCGCAAATGTGGTGGTTTCTTGCAATTGACTCGGTAAACACTGACATATTTCTTGTAGGGAGTACCTAGAACTCATTTAGATGGGATATAATTTGGTCTCATTCACTTTGAAAACAAAAACATATACAACCCACGTCAGCACATACACACCTTATAGCATCACATTCAATGACTATAAAAGGTGAATGAGAACAAATTATATTTCATCTAGATGAGTTCTAGCAAAATTGTTTCTTGTATGTGTACAAGCTTAGACAGGAATATCTGGCAAGACATAGTGTGCCAAAATCAATTTTGGTAGACACAGAAAACGATGCCCATTTCAACGGCAGGACATGACGTGAAGAGGTGACAACAGAGGCATGAAACGAGCCTTAGAGCATCTCCAACCGTTTGGCCCCCCAGGGCGCCGGAAAAGAGCGTCCTGGGGGTGCGTCGATGACAAACTCGGCACTGGGGGCGGTTCGGCACCCAGTCGTCGCCCCGAGGCGCCAAATTCAGCCCAGCTCTCGGCCCAAGTATGTCCAAAAAACGGCCCGATAACTGCGTGAATAGGCCCATTTTCGGCGCGGTTCGGCGGGTTTCAGCGTGAATTTTCGCATACAAATAGAAATCAATTAGTTCGTCACATAGTTCGGCATGTTTCGGTGTGTTTCATCACATAAAACAAATAGTTCACTACAAATTATATAGTTTAACAAATAAAACTCAAGTTTCATCACATGTCATTCCTAGCCTCGCCCTTGAGCCTCCATAGGTGCTCCACCAGATCGTGTTGCAGTTCTTGATGCACCTATGGGTCTTAGATCTCCTGACACATATTGAGGTACTCAGTCCAGTTTGTCGGTATCTGATGATCAACTTGGGCAAGAGGACCCTGCGCGTAATATATATGGCTCAGTGTCAAACACTGGCTCTTCCTGCTCGTTCTCAGTGATCATGTTGTGCAAGATGACACAACAAGTCATGATCTCCCACATTTGATCTTTCGACCAGGTCTGAACGGGGTACCGGACAACAGCAAATCAAGATTGGAGCACACCAAATGCCCGCTCGACATCCTTCCTGCAAGCCTCCTGAATCTTCGCAAACCAGGCGTTCTTGCCTCCTGGCACAGGGTTTGAGATGGTATTCACAAATGTCGACCATCTCGGATAGATGCCATCAGCTAGATAGTACCCATTGTTGTACTGCCGTCCATTGACCTCGAAGTTCACCGGAGGAGAATGACCTTCGACAAGCTTGGCAAAGACTGGAGAGCACTGCAAGACGTTGATGTCATTGTGAGTTCCTGGCATCCCAAAGAAAGAGTGCCAAATCCAGAGGTCCTGTGTGGCCATTACCTCAAGCACCACACTGCAACCGCCTTTGGCGCCTTTGTACAACCCCTGCCAAGCAAATGGACAGTTCTTCCATTTCCAATGCATGCAGTCGATGCTTCCAAGCATCCCAGGAAATCCTCTTGCTTCATTTTGTGCTAGGATCCGACCAGTGTCTTCCGCATTGGGTGTTCGCAAGTACTGCGGCCCAAACACTGCCACCACTGCCCTGCAGAATTTGTAGAAACACTCAATGGTGGTGGACTCGGCCATGCGCCCATAGTCATCAAGTGAATCACCGGGAGCTCCGTATGCAAGCATCCTCATAGCTGTCGTGCACTTCTGGATCGAGGTGAATCCAAGTGTGCCGGTGCAATCCTTCTTTCATTTGAAGTAGCTGTCGAACTCCTGGATGGGATTCACAATACGGAGGAAAAGCTTTCGGTTCATCCGATAACGGCGCCGAAATGTTTTCTCACCGTGCAATGGACCGTCAGTGAAGTAGTCCGAATAGAGCATGTAGTAGCCTTCTAGACGATGCCGGTTCTTTGCTTTCACCCGCCCAAGCGCCGAGCCACCTCGCCGCGGCTTCACACTTCTCGCGAGCAGGCCGGCGAGGATGGCGAGCACCATGAGATGCTCATGCTCCTGGACATCGGCTTCGGCTTCCTCATCCAGCAACGCCGCGAGCGCCTCCTCATCTTCGGAATCCATCGCCGGGCCGAACAATTCACCGAACACCTTGTGGATGCAAGCCCGCCAGCGTACAGCCCTGTGCGCGGCCGGAGTGCTGGAAAAGGTGCCCGGGACGGCGGCGAAGAGGCTGCCTCGGCCAAACCCCTTCCTTTTCCCGGCGGGAGATGCTCTACCTAGCTTCTACGGGTGGTGGTC